AAATTCTTGTGAGATTTTGTTAGTAAAATAGATCGATACCAAGTCAATATATCAACATATAAAAATATGGCAAAATTTCAAGCATCCAGGGATGATGTATGTAAGTATTTAACTTTTAGGTATTTGTTATGGTTGAGCAGACTTAACTATAAAATGTCACAATAGATCCTTGCTTGGTTTCTTCACCAAAAACAGCAGAAAGTTTAGTTTCCTTTGAGAATCTATTGATATTTGGTTGAAGATGATATTAAACAGAGACTCAGGAGGATGCAGATCAGTATTAGCTTTGTGAAGATGAAATGTATCAACATATTTACTGTGAAATTCAACACACTGAGAGAGGAGAGGAGAATGAAGTCTGATGATCAAACTGGGATTATTTTTTAATCCTCACTGTGCCTGAAAGATTCAGCTGCTGAACTCTGGGTCAGGTAAGATGGGAGCAGTTAAACTGGCCATACAAATTATTATTTATCGGTCAAATCACCATGTACCTTGATTGAAAGACTAGAGCCAATCTAATATGGCCCCGGAGCACCCCTTTTCTAATCTGAAACTACACAGAATATAACAAGAAGTGACCTACAAGCTCAGCTGCTGCTGTCCACTCTTGACATCATCCACAGCAAGGCATCCTGACTTGGACGCAAGACTGGTTTGAGTTTGAATCTCCAGAGAACCCATTTGGAACCCAGAAGATCTTTAACCAGTGATTCAGCAGCTGGCTGAGGATCTTATACAGATTTCAGGTTTGCCTGTTTAACCAAAAGAACTTGATTCAGTGTTTAAGTGAGTTTTTCCTCCCTAAAACAGCTGAGGAACACCTCCCTTCAGTTGCACCCTTGTGGCCGTCATGCCCTTGCCCTTCTTCTGTCCATCTCTTGACATCCTCCTCCTCCTTTTTCTATTTTCAACCCCTGGTTTCTTGGGGCTTAATTATGGGGGGCCGACTCTTTGGTTGAGGAGGTGCGAGGCGAACAGGGATCAGCGTGACCCTGGAGGAGAAGCCATCAGACAGCGGTCTTAACAATGATAAATCACCCTGAGCACAGCTCTACAGATACAGCCGCCGCCCCCCTTCCTCCTAAAATATGGATGGACCTGCAGTAGGGGCAGGAGGCAGAGGAGTGGCGTTCCACCAGGATCTCCAGATTAGTGATTATCAGGTGGAGGAGTGCTCTAACGAAGCGGGACGTGGTGTGGAGCTAATTCCATTCAGAGGAAACCGATTGAAATTCAGCTCATGAATTCAACATCGCTCATTATTCTCATTGAACGGCGGAAATCTCCTCATTCATGGAGTGGGCTGGAATTAATAATCCCTGAACGGACTGGCGCCTCGTGAGTCCGGATGGGGTCAATGATCAGAGCTAAAAGTTCACTCGCTACACGCCAAACACGTTTAATCTCCACCTTCTGCTCAATGAATCCTGCGCAGAAAAGAGGAACTTCTGCTACTAAAAGAAGGATTTTGTTCTCATTTATTCCATGAAAATCATCAACAATGTCATAAAATTTCTGATGCCGTAAACATTTTATGAACTGGATTTCTGGATTCTGGCAGATTTCTATGAGGAATATTCGCTGAGAACATTCAGTGTGAAAGGTCCAAACATGGATGGTGCTTACATGAAAGCTGTACAAAATATAATTTCGTTGACAATAAAAGCTCAACCGCTGTCTTGTAATATTTGTTCTTGTGTCATACATACACAGGGAAACTAATACTTAATCTTTATTAGGAAGTAAAACAGTTTTTGTCCCCATTTAAAATCTAAAGATGATCATTATTTGGCTATGATTTTTTTATTCCTAAGAAAAAAAAAGACTAAATCTTGTTTACTATATTGTTTGCTAACGAGGAAAAAAAATCATTAATCTACTGTATAAAGCTAAAATTTCTACATCTTATTCATAACCTACATTTCGTTGCTTTGTACTTGTGACAGTGTAATAAGAGTAAAGATGAATTCTGTTCTATTCTAAACCCTTTATAGTGTAGTTTTTGTGTAAAAGCCATTGATTTTTGTTGTTAATAAAAAGGGCATATAGTGATAAAAAAGAGACTAGACTAATATTGTTTAAAAATCTTATTTTAAAGCTAGGTTATGCAAACAGAACCAGTTCTGCAAACAGGATAATTAAGCTATCATCAGATGCATATATGTTTGATAATATAGTTAATTTTAACATAATTTACATAAGAAATATAATTTTCATAAAAGGGAAGCTGATTAACACCACACAAGGTCGCTCCATAAAATGTATGAGTCATTTAAGAATTGTTTCAACACCTTTCAACTCGTTTTTTATTTATAGCTGGGTAAACAGATTTGAGTAATTAAGTCATATAAAAGAGTAGGGCTATTTTTTTATTGGGTAGCAAAAAGTTAGCATCCCTGTTGGCTTTGTTGCACAGAAATAAACTGCATTAGACTTATTTAATGTTTTTAATGGAAACAAGTTAAAAATTATAATTTTTTTTTGTTTTCCATTTTAGAGTGAGTAAAAGAACAATTAAAAAGTCAATAAATCTAAAAAGCTTTTATTTCCAGCATCAAACCCATCATTTAGTATAGTTCTGGTAAAGGTACTCATGCTGAGGTCATTTAGCACATTGATGGATATAAAACCAGGGTGATCTATAAAACCCGAGCTCCTGGATTAATTTGGTTTTAACTTCTTATAGGTTTTTCATCAAAAGGCAGGAATGGTTTCTGAGGTAAACTGCAGTTTTCCACCGCTCAGATAAAATCAGCCTCCAGTTTGTCCTCTGATTGTTCCCATATTTGCCTTTCTGTTCAGTTTAACCATCTTTCCTGCTGCTGAAAGCTTCATCCTCCACCTGACGGCAACAACAAATCAATCTGTCGCCTGTCTCTGCATCTCCTCTGTTTCCTTCAGCAGAGTGGCAGCTGCAGGTGAAAACTAAAGAGAAGTGACAGCTCCAGTTAACCCGTCGCAGCTCGCTCCTGGCCGACATGCAGCTCTGTCAGCTCACAAAGCGGCTCTCCTCCCCCAACCGTGATTCAGATCCTCTCGGAGCGTCTGGGAGCCACACGATCTGAGGGCTTATTGAGTTTTCTTTTGAATAAATAAATATTTAAAAGGGAGCAGAGCAGGTTGTAAATCAGGCCATCGCAGAGGCCAGACAATGTGTGCTCACTATTAGTATCAATTTACAAATAAACTGCTTTTTTAGGGACTGGATCTCCAATGTCAGATTTTGATAAATGGTTTCAATTTGGCAGCTGCTTTGGAGTGTCAGGGTCCATCTGAGGCTTGGCGGTGGCCCCTGCTGCTTGCTGCCTCCCAGAATCTGCCTCAGTTAGCCTCATCGCAGGCCGCTGCAGCGCAGATAATCTCCCCATGCTAACCAGGACGCCTGACGGCTGCTCACAGTGTGCATCTAAATAAATGTCTGAGCCTGCTTCCTGATGGCTTTCCTGGCCTGGTTTCATACGGCCTGACCTTCTCTTTAGCCCAGAAATGAGAATATGGAGCTGAAGCTTCACATGAAGCAGAAACATGTTAAGTGTAGCTAAGTATTTTACCACTGTTTTCTGTCTTTAAAAGAAAAAATGTCTCTATAAATCAGCTCAAATTTAGATAATTAAACAGAATAATCATCTAAATTTTCTATCGGATCTGAACATTTTCAAATTCTGTATGTTTTTATCGTTAACCCAAGAGCTTAGATATTTTGCTAAATGAGTATTCTAAATTATAAATCTTTGATAATGCTTGTCTGGTTTTAAGCTGATCCTTATTTACAGAGAAGAAGGAAAAATATGCATTCCTGATTATGTTCTAACCTTCTGAATGGCTAACTGATTCATCAGAGTGAATCTGAAAATGACCGCTAAAGGATGAATCTTGGTGTTTGAGATGTTTGGTGCTGTTCTTCTGAGCTTCTTTTCCTTCCTTCACGTACTAATCTGATGAACATTTATGAGTTAAGGTCTCATCTTCAGATTTTTGTACTTCGACACTAAAAACATAAACTGCTGCAGGGTCCTTCATGCAGGTAATGCTGTGAATCCAACAGGACATGAAGAATTTACCGAGATTCTCCTCATTAATGCATCAAAACATGCACCCCTCTTACTCACCACCAACCTCTGACGGATTTCCAGTGGACTCAAGATTAAGAACATGCTGTCAGATGAAGCTTTACAGGCCGTGAGAGCTTTCAGGTTTTGACTACTTCATGAGTAGAAGAAAAATAAATAAATTGCTGCTAGATCCGATAAATAAGCTGAGTGGTCATCAGGTCACTGTCTGGTTCTGTTTTACTAATGATGGAGCTGACCAAGTAGCCCTACTTAACAATGACTCAACCTGTTGAATTTTAGACAGAAAAATACTATCAGATTGAAAAAACATCACAAAAAATAAAACTGAAATGTTATGATAAAAGCATAAAAATAACAGAATAGTTTACATTATTTCACCAATAAATAAAATATTATAGGAGATAATTAAATTAAACATTCGATTAAAAGTTATTTAGCATAATTGCATGTTCACTTTCAACTGTCCCTTGTTCTTGAGATGGAGCAGAACCAAACCAAAATAGAGCCACAGCACAACCTGGGCCTGCAGGCAGCGTGCCCTTCAAATCAGGACCAAACAGCACCGATCAACACAAACAGCTTTGTCCTGCAGGTGGCCCACAAAGATTCAAAATGAACCATAATAAGACAGAAAATCTATTAAACTGGATAGTAAGCATCAGTTTAGATTGACAGGTACATCCTGGGTGCAACCTGCATCCTGACCTCTCACCTGCGCTCTGACTTAATAAGCCGTCTGCACTGACCTTTGGTAACCTCTCAGGGTCCCCGGGGTGACGAGGGATGACCTTCTGTAGCCTCTGGAAGCCGTAGTCGATAGTGGGCTCGTTGAGTGCTGTGGGTCAAACAGAGAGAGGATGGCAGTGAGAGTCCAGCACAGAGAATCTCCTGATGGAACCCAGACAGAGCCTGGACTGATCCAATGACCTTATGACCATATAAGGTTTCTCCAAAGGTTTGTACACCCGGTTCTTCTCTTTATGTGACAGATCATCTCTATTTCTCATGAACATATCACATAAAATTTCCAGAGGTCTGCTGATTTTCTTCTTGTTGCGCTGTGTTTGCCCCGTTTTTCTTGACTGAATTTTGTGGTTTACGTTTAAACTGATTCTAAATTAAGCTTTCAGATTTAGTTGAGCCTCTTCCTGGATGTGAGCCTTAGATTTAGGGCCGAACTACCGTAATTAATCAGATTATTCGTGATTAATCCAATTATAGCAATATTGTTAAGTTTTCTTTAAGGGACCTTTTGCTATCTGATTATTAATCGATTAATCGAAAAAATAAGATTAATCAATCTGCAAAATTTGTTTATTATATTATACATACGTTTGTTGCAGCCCTACTTAGATTACATCTTGGTGTGTAATAATTTTCTACTATGACACAGATCAGTGGCCCCTTGAAATCTGCAAACGTCTTACTCTAAAAATGAAAAAATATAGTTAGCTGTCCCTGAGAAAGCAAAGATAAAATAGAGCTGGAACCAGCTTCAGTATCATTCAATATACCACTTCAGTGCATTTCAATAGAATATTTGGCAGAAAGTTAAGTTTTTCAAATTCTCAATCAGTAACCAGTTAATTAAAGTTAGTAAAACTTAACTTATGCAAAACTGAAACAAAGCATTTAGATCTAAACAATAAAAGTCTAAAATAAGCTTTAATAAAGAGAGAAGCTAACCTCTCAAAACCCACCGGTTTAAAGCGTTTACAAATAATAACTCAGAATAAATGAAAATGACACTGGTAAGATGTTTACCAATATAGACATGTTAGACATCATTCGATTCTCCACAATTCAACCACCTAGTTCATTTTATGGACACAGCGAGGACCAAAGCACAGATAACAGAGATATAGCAGCATGTCAAAATGTTTCATGCAAAAGCAGCCAAAACAAGCAAGCAGGTCTTTATAACTGCTGTTCAAAAAAAAAACTATTATTTTCAAGAATGAAAGAAAAAAACAACTTTGAGTCTTGTTTGAACTGATGCAGCTTGGGTGTTTTACTCACCCAATTTTCAAGTATATATTCAGAAGGTGTTAGCTTTTAAATAATGTATCACACATGTAATTTGGGTTAACTTATTTGCTTTTCCATTTGGGTATGCAAAATAGGCGAGAATTTCCCATAATGAGGTGGATATTAAGAGGCTAAAACATATGAGTATGTATTTCTTTCTGAATGTTTGAGGTCTTGATATGTCCATCTATTCATCAATGGTGTTTAAATAAAATGTTTTAAAGTATAAATTTTGTTTGAACTTTTGAATATTCAGTAGTATATATCAGTTTTCTTTTGAAACAGATTTGTGTTTCTTTAAAGCATCTCTAGCATTTAGAGAATAACTGGCTCGGATCTGTACATGAAAGTGGGCATTGAAGAGAACCTGGACCGAGCAAAGCTCTCGTTCCTGCTCTGTCAGACCACATTCCTGAGGAGCATTCAAGGAGCGTCGCAGACCTCAGTGTGTTCATTAGGTGAGCCACCTCACTCTTCCTTAATTCAATCCAACCAGTCCTTTCTTTCCCTTCTCCACTCATTCACCTCTGCAAACAATCAGCCTCCTCCTCCTCCTCCTGAAAAAGCGAGTAGAGCTGCAGAAACACCCGGAAATGAGTTCAGGGAGATACTTCTCCATAATCAAGCCCATTAATCATAAAAGGCTGTCAAATTTGACTTTGGGGACAATTTGTCAGCCGATACTGCCCACTCGGCTTTTGTCACTGTTGCCTCTTGTATCCTGTAAGGATGATTGACACTTCAAATGCTGCTGAGTAGAATAGCTAGTTTGTGCTAATATGAATAACCGCGGCCTTCATGAATAAGAATAAGGTAGCTATCCGGCAGCACAGAGGGGTCTCCTTCAAAGGCTCCGCCTGTTTGTCGCCGCTGCTCCGAATAGATGTTATTACCATTATAACAATATTTGTTTTCTTTTCCGGGAATGGGATCGGGGCGAGCTGCTAAATCAAATTTGTCGGAGCACGTTTGGAGCGGCGGTGGAGGAGAAAAAGGCTTTCAGGCTGAGGTGGGGATGATGATGTGTGAAGGGTGACAGAGTGCTGAGGGACGTGGCTCTTGCCGCTGAGGTCCTCCTCTTCCCGCCTCCCAGACAGGAAGCAGAGAATCTATTACCTCCTCACGCCGTGGATCAAAGACCGATTCATTGTGGGTTCCCAAAGAGACTTTTTGGAGGAATAAGGAGCAACCGAGGATAAACACAGATAATGCAGTGGGAAGATACGAGCAGCAATCAGCAGCAAATCCCAAACTGGATCCTCTCCCAACGCCATGTACAAACCCCTGATCTCATATAACGAGTGAGCAGCTCGATGGGAGCAACTGCAATAAAATCAGAATCCTATTTAGACTCTGAGGGAGGAGTCGGAGGGGTTGGAACACATTTTGCTGCTGCACCAGACTCAATTCCAACAAAAGTTTCTGTTTTTTAAATGATGTCCTTTAAACTACCTGCAGAACAGCAAAATATGGAGTTAAAATGCCGTAAATGCCGCTGAAACAAAATCCCTTCCGCACTTTAGAGCAGACCTTCACCTGTCCTGTTAGGTCAGAGCAGAAATACCAGCCTACTGAAGTTTATCTTCACTCAGCTTCAATGAGGTGTAAACAAAATAGTAAGAAACCAGTCATAACCCTCTGGTAATGAGCTACTCTGGACCAGTCAGTAGCAATGGGTAAGGTTATATCACTAACTGCTTGTAAATCGTTTTGAGCTGCTCCATATCTCTAGACCATTATCACAATCATCATCATTAGTCAGTGTACTTATCCTCTGCTTTGCAATCAGTCCTCCAGATTATGTGGGAAAGAAACAGATTTTAGTCTGCTAAAAACATCTATAATGATCTTTAACCAAAGAAATAATCTGTGTTTCCCAAAGGATTCATCTGGTAACCACAGAGCAAAGGTGTCTAACTCTGGTCTTGGGGGACATGTAACTTCTACATGTGTCCAAAACCTAAAATATCTTAATCTCATAATTTTCAGAGAGTTTAAGTGTCCAATACTTAAATTATGCATTTTCAAGTCAGGGGAATCCAAAGTCCAAAAACCTCTTTATGCCCATGTCCACCATAAGCTGACAATGAGTCTAAAGAAAAGAAGCCAGAAAGAATGTCTGTTTTAAAACTGTGACGGTACAACTATGCACACAGGCAGAGGTGAATTGCAAGCCGAGGGTGATTACCTTTTTTCATAGTTTTAGGCTGACACCCCTTCAGAAAGAGACTAAAACTACTAAAATGTAGTTTCTGTCTTCCCGGAATAGCTTCTCTGACTGGTTGATGCAAAAGTTTCAGATTTCCCAACTCCAGCACCTGCTGCTTTGGATGCTTGTGCAGCACCCAACATTAGAAACGCTCCAGTAAAGCTGCAGGACCTCTTGATGTTTGTCAGGTTCATGAATTGTTTTTTTCTTAAGAAGAACTGAAATACAGACTTATCGATACTATTCCTGCAGGAAGGAGAGACAGTTGAACCCCAGACTCAAACATACTGTCTCCCACTGGACTTCCTCTGCAGAGCATTTATTAACAGAACATGACACATGGTTACAAACCATGTGTCAAGTATTGTTCTGACAGAACAATTGACCAGTTCATGAAGACAGAATGCTCCATCAGAATGACAAGGCAGGATGGTCTTCTGACTGGATCATGAGACAGGAGTGGAGCATCCCCTTGCACAAATGTTTCATAAGCACACATTCATTTTATAATCATCATTGAATAAACCTGACAACGTCCCTTGATGCAGTCTACTCCAGACTTTGAGAATTGTGAATTTGTGAATGCACACGTATTTATTTCATATTTTTTTTCCACTAAAAAAATGGTTCTTATGTGGTTTGTTTTCCATTTGTTTTAATTTCTTGTTTGAAATTTTTTGTATTAATATAAGCAGTGGATTAATATGTGTGTGTATATGTAACCTGCATTTTCCAATAATTAAACATTATTGATCTCACATTGGAGATATTTGCCTCTGCATTTAATTCATCCCCTTGGAAAACAGTGGGCTGCCATCGTGGGGCGCCCAGGGAGCAGAGTGGGATTAGGGTCTTTCTCAGGGAGCCAGAGTGTCAGTCTGTGGGAGTGGGGCTCAAACAAAGAACCTCAGGATTGCAAGCTCTATGCCCTAACCACTAGGCTACCACTCCCCCTATATTTAGACATCACAGGATTGATGTCTATAAGACTATTTTTTACTGTGTCAAATTTTATTGGCTACTTTTTTTAAGATACTCAGAACCTCCTCTTTGCCCTTCTGGAAGTCAATGTAAAACAATAGTTCCAAGTACAAAGACGAGCATGGTCAGTAGGACCAGAGGAAAAGAGACCTGAAAGACCTCTGACATCAGAAACAGAAAATCTGCTGTTAGATTGGGATTTAGTTACACACATATGATCTCTGGTTATAATCAGGTGACTTCTGAAGGTAATTGGTTGTTCTAGGTTTCAGAGTGAAGGGACTGGACACAAATACACACAATGAATAGTTTTTCAAGCTGTATCGTTACAATGCTGGTCTGTCTCATAGAGTCTCAACAATAAAACCTGTGAGAATGGGACAAAACACAGGGAAACGAGATGATAAACATTATATCAGCTCACAGGCTCTAAGCTTAAAAACGTGGCAGTGACAGTCTGCCTGGAATAGCTGTCAGGATAAAGATTCAGAGTTCAATGGAGGGAGGGGAGGACGAAACAAAGACAGTTTAACCAAGAAGCGTTTAACCGCTCCCCACCGGCCCCCGTCGACAGAAATTAAACCCATTACTCTCTTTATTAAAATTTCGCCGCTCTC